TTACAGTTTGTTTATGTATTTTTTAATAAGGTCCTCTTATCTTATCTGCAATATAGTTGTATTTTTCGAAATTTAATTTTCTAATTTGTTAATTTCTTTCTTTTTTTTTTCACTCTAATAATATTTATTTAAATCTAATAATTTTTATTTAATGCAATTTAATTAATAATTTATTTAATCCAATGTCTATAGGTTCTTCCCTGAAATTGCTTACCAAACATGAGTCAGTGTTTCCACAGTGTTAACAGTTGGAGTGTTAGAATGCGGAGAAGCAAAATAACTCCCTACTGAATTTCTCAATAGTCTCACTCCCAGAGGAATGCATCCACACCAGTTAACCTCTAGGTTGGTACTATTGTTATGCTTCTGAGAAGTTTTAATCCTAAGCAGGGTCTTTGAAAATGGTACACGTATGGTGATACAGTGCATGTGCTCTCATGTCCTTAAAGTAGTGTAGTTCTGTTGTTTGCAATTTCATTTTCTGATTTGTTAAAATTTTTCTTCTATAGTTTCTCACCTGCGGGTCCTTCGGGTAAACCCGGGGCGTTGCCCGGGTCACTCGGCTAGTATGTATATAAAAAAGCAAAGCCCAATTCTAAACCCAAATATTTTTTTTATGAGAAGAACATCAACATATTGCATGATTACGGCAGTCCATAGCTTCCCTGACAAAAATTCACCAAGAAAGTAAAATATTCCAAATATTTTCTGTGTGTAAATTGCTAAATATGTAAAAAACATGTATACAAAAAAGCAAAGCCCAATTCCAAACCCAAATATTTTTTTTATGAGAAGAACATCAACATAATGTATGATTACGGCAGTCCATAGCTTCCCTGACAAAAATTCACCAAAAAACTTAAATATTCCAAAATTATTTCTGTGTATATATTGCTAAATGTGTAAATAACATGTATATAAAAAAGCAAAGCTTAATTTTAAATTTCATTATCCTTTTTACAGGAAAAGCATCAAAATACTGCATAAGTACGGCACTTTTGCAGCCGCATGATTACGGCAGTCCATAGCTTCCCTGACAAAAATTCACCAAGAAAGTTTAATATTCCAAAATTTTTCTGTGTGTAAATTGCTAAATATGTAAAAAACATGTATACAAAAAAGCAAAGCCCAATTCCAAACCCAAATATTTTTTTTATGAGAAGAACATCAACATAATGCATGATTACGGCAGTCCATAGCTTCTCTGACAAAAATTCACCAAAAAAGTTAAATATTCCAAAAATATTTCTGTGTATATATTGCTAAATGTGTAAATAACATGTATATAAAAAAGCAAAGCTTAATTTTAAATTTCATTATCCTTTTCACAGGAAAAGCATCAAAATACTACATAAGTACGGCACTTTTGCAGCCCCCCTGACAAAAATTCACTAAAAGAGGTAAGTATTCAAAAAAATATTTTGGTATATATATTGCTAAATGTGTAACAAACATGTATATAAAAAAGCAAAGCTTAATTCTAAGTTCTAATATTTTTTTTATAAGAAAAGCTACAAAAGCAAATAGGGAGAAGTGAAGCCATTTAGCCATTTTCAAAATCTGATTGTGAAAGAGTAAAAAAATGAGTAAATAAGAGCAAATATAAAGAAAAAGTATTGCTAAATGTGTAATAAACATGTATATAAAAAAGCAAAGCTTAATTCTAAGTTTTAATATAAAGAAGAAATAAGACACAAAAATGGAGCTAAATTCAAATGAAAAACTATAACAAATTAATAAAAAAAATAAGACCTAATCCAAATGCCACCATCATCAGACAAAAGAAAAAATGAGATTTTATTCTTTAGTTCATTTATTCTTCTGTCTGATGCTGTTGCTGAAACGTCACACACTATTGAATTATTTGGATTAGGTCTTATTAATGAGAAAAAAAAAGATGCCAAAGAGAGATGAAAAGATGCCAAAAAAGATAACCAGATACAAAAATTGTGCTAAATTCAAATGAAAAACTATAACAAACACTTATAAAAGATAATTATTATAGAATAAAAGTAATAATTCAATCTACAATTCGAAAAATTTATATATTTAAATGAAAAACTATAACAAAGTACTTACATAATCAAATGAATCAGAAATATATATTATTTCAAAACACATTTTTACGCATTTCAAAACAAATGAATTGATGATGATAAATGCAAAAAATCTACGATTGTAAAATAGATTAAATTAAAAAATAAAAATAACTGTTAACATTAGGAAAATAAAAACAGGCCTATCATACGAAGAAAAAAATAACGAAAATTTTGGTATATAGATTGTTATGTGTAGTTCAGAATCTTCGGAGGAGATAGCTCAGGACTTTACAATGGAAAACTCTGTTACGGTATTATCTATATAGAAGCCGCGACATCTGGCGGTCGTCATTACAAAGTAATTTGATCTCTATGAAATATAATTTGAGATTATATATATATATATATTATATAATCTAAAAACTCAAATATTTCTATATTTTAAAAAATATATATTATATTTTATTCATTGATAATTTTACTTTTGTTATCATCGTTTTTAGAAAGACTTTCAGTTTTGTTGTATAGTTTTGTTGTAAATATGCGTACTTAATATATCTATCCTTTTAAATCACTAATATAGGATTAACTTCATAAATTCTATATAATGTGAAAATAATTAACGTGTAATCTTTCCTCAAGTAATTGAAAATAAAAGCTACTTGACGGTAAATATATTTTTTTTTTATCACGACTGCACCTCAACCCTTTATCTTATCGATCCTTTGTCTTATCAACCCTTTATCTAACAACAACAAAAAAATATATTCATAACATATTTATATGTGTGTTTGAAAATATATAGAGAAATCCATATATTATATTATTTAAAAATGCCTATTTTGGATAATAAAGTTTTATTTCCAATATTTCGTGTGGCAATTCGCCAAACTTCTTCGGGGAACAAGATTGTTTTGAGAAGCTCGCGTATAAATTCACGAGTAGAATCTATATATATATAATAATATTTTAAATTTTAGCGAGCATCTCAAAACAATCTTGTTCCCCGAAGAAGTTTGGAGAGTTTCCACACGAAATATTGGAAATAAAACTTTATGATCCAAAATAAGCATTTTTAAATAATATATATATATATATATAGATATATATATATAATGTGGTTAAATATATATTTTAGAAAAATATATTCCAGCTTATCGTCTTGTAAATATTCATGTAGAATAACCTTGACTCGAATTTTCTGCCTTTTAATTCTCTGCTTTCGAAGCTTTACTATAAACCATGAAATAGATATATAAGCAGAAGAGAAATACTTGCTAATATATTTCTGAAATCGAGATACAAAAAACATTCACTATTTATATAACATCTCACATATTTAGCTGACTCGACTAAGAAAAATTCTATAACGTCAGCTTTGTTAAATCCGAAATTTATATTCAACTACAATTTATAGCTACAATTTTGGACGAAAGGTTTTGCATATAAACGTCTGAGGAAATATTCCTGTGCTCGATAACTTATGATAATATGTTTATATCCTCTCGATAATAAAATTCTTCGCTGAGAGTGAAATATTTATTTACTTTATAAAATCAAGGCTAGTTTTGAACAAACCGTATATTTAAGCTCAATGTAGCTGATAAAATAGCAGATTTTTAATAGTTAAATGATTTTCCAAACGATTAATTACATTTCGCACTATTTTTCCAAACTGAATTCTTACACAGTTCCAACCAAATTTATAGTTACACAATTTGTCACATCATCCGGAAAAAATTCCAGAAATACTTACATAGAAGAGGTCTATTAGAAACACCAAATTGTTCTTGAGGAGAAACAGGAACAACTGTACGACTGTCCGAACTTTTATGAAGTGAAACATCGATTGTTCCCTGATATGAATGATTTAAATCTCTTACATCAGATACTTTGTCTATATAAATTTTATGAACTCTGTCGATTAATGCATGTAAATTTTTGATATATTTAATTATAAGTTCTAATTTGTTTGTTGTTGTTGTTTTTTCTCTGTAATAGGCGCAAATATTTCAATATCGGGCCTGGTTGATTAATACATTCTAAAATATATAATAAATCGATTAAATGGTACTGCTCTAATAACATTTACTGAAAAAAGTATTGTCTTTTGGAATTTTATATTTTTTGCTTGGGTAGGGGGGTGAGGTGCAATTTAAGTTTCATTCAAGTTGATCATCATTTGTAATTTGAGGCTGTTGAAAGAAAACGACAACAAACAAACAAACAACAAAAGCCTTTATTGAGGACCTCTCGTCCTATAAAGGATTCGCCAGTTTACAGAGTAATTGAAGAGAAGAGAACTAAGAATACAGAGAGAAACCTATAAGTAGTAGGTATAGTATAGTATTTTCTACACTGTGACTATATACAACAGCAGCAACAAGCCTTTTACTGGAATCAAAGTCCCATACAGGATTCGTAATTCTAGTCCTGACAAAGATTATTTACATATAATTATTTACATCAATTAGATTATGTGTATAGCTTCCTCTTCTCTTCAGCCGTCTTCCAAAATTTGAACAACGCAAACGCTCCAGCTCTGTTTCTCACCACCTCCTTCAACAGGAGCTCCAAAGAGAGTCCCTCAAGGCCTATTTCACTGAGGAGCACTTCTCGTTCGTCTTTCAGCCCCATACATGAGAGTATATGGTGATGTAGCCCCGGCTCCATTCTTGTCCCGCAAATCTCACATGTGTATCCGTCTGTGTTGAAAGAAAACACGAACACTTAATAACCAAGTGCCAGCCATGATCCGAATGGTGTTCCATTTGAAGGCAGTAATGGAATCTATTTTTCTCGATTAGGTTATTGCTAACGTCTTCCTAACCTGCGCGAAAATGAAGTCACACCCAACTATAGATTAATATATAATCTAATAAATATATAATAGACTTGATGATCAGTCACGCGAAAATGCATTCTATCTGGGACGATAATTCAATAAATATTTATAAAAGAAGCCTAAACCCGGTATCGAACCAGGGACCTCTAGATCGTCAGTGTAAAGCTCTCCCGACTGAGTAATTTCGGCTCACTCTCTTTCTTCTACTTCAATTTTCAATATAAAGTTTATTTTATCTGTTAGCAATGTGAATAATCTGCTCATTCAAACAAATATATTTGATGCGTGTTATAATACTCGGCATCGCCCCAGAATTCCCCTGAGTGCAATTTCCTTCATACTGAAAGTGCATCAATAATAAATAGTAGAAGTGCCATAGAATAGCAATACAGAAGTAACACATAACCCACAGGCAAAAGGTGTGTGTGATGGCAAAATTTGTTTTATGGTATATTTTATTTTGTTAAATTGTATTATATTAATGTTTAGGTATTTGATTTAATTATTATTATTATATTTTTGCAATCCATTTAGTTGTTTCAAATTCAATATAGTTTAAATAGATGACACCTTTTCCACCCAACCCCCGAGGTAACCGCCCCAGCGCATTAACCCTTGAAATTGCCTGAGTTGAGTAGGTGACTGCGATGGATCTTGCCCATCTTCTCAGTAAGAATAAGAAAAAAAATATTTTAAAATATTTCAACTCAAAATACTGGCCATGTAAGTATTTTTCTGTAAAAATAAAAGAGCACATGGAAAGTAGGCAAACATATGTGTTTGCTAATGACTGCGACTGCATTTTAAACGATTCTTTTTGAAGAGATAAAAAAAAAACAAGGCCAGAATAAAAATTAATAAAAAATACGAAAGCCTTTATTTACATACAGTGGCGTTTATTTTGTAAAGTGTTATTTTTTAAATTGCATTGTGTGCACTTACCGTAAATTAATAATATAAATTCTCTCTCAACACTCAATACCTTTGCAAAAAAAAAACCACTCGTATCAAGGATATTTCAAAAAAGTAAGCAAGCACTTGAAAAAAAAAATGCAGAACGCTCATTGGTCGCTTAATTGGCCTGGTGTTATTACTTCGCCTCGTATTTACTCCCCGTAAAAAAGTTCTTCAAAGAAAAAAAATAGAGTCAAAAATACTAATCAAAATGTAGCCGAAAATATTTCTCAGGTTTATAAAAAGCGACATGCAAAATTTGGTACCAGTTGGTTAAGTAGTTTTTTTAGTTTATCGCGAAATATACAATAGACATTGACTTTTATATTTAGGAATATATAGTAATCTATATTAATAAAATGGAAATTTCATAAGTGGACATCACTAAAACCTTTCGTTACAATGCATCAATTTCGGCCAAATTTTCAACATTTATTTAAAACGAGATGGAGCAGGTTTTGCTTAACATCAAAATATTTTTCCTAACTTTAACATGTGTAACTTCGCAGTTATCGATTAAATAAAAAAAAACAACAGAGTTAATTTTATTTATATATAAATACAAAAAAAAATTCAACAGAGTTAATTTTTTTAACATACTAGCTAATAATCTCAATCTAAAAAATATTCAAAACAAGCAATTTTAAGATAACACCATATGTAAAACAGTCTGCCAAGAAAACAACAATATAATATAAAAAGCCAACAATTAGAATAAATGTAAGATAAAAAGCCAACAATAAAGAGCAAATATAATATAAAAAGCCAACAATGAAGAATGAATGTAAGATAAAAAGCCAACAATGAAAACTAAATATGATATAAAAAGCCAACAATGAAGAATGAATGTAAGATAAAAAGCCAACAATGAAGAGTAAATGTAATATAAAAAGCCAACAATGAAGAATAAATGTGAGATAAAAAGCCAACAATGAAAAGTAAATATAATATAAAAAGCCAACAATGAAGAATAAATGTAAGATAAAAGCCAACAATGAAGAGTAAATGTATTATAAAAAGCCAACAATGAAGAATGAATGTAAGATAAAAAGCCACAATGAAGAGTGAATGTAATATAAAAAGCCAACAATGAAGAATGAATGTAAGATAAAAAGCCAACAATGAAGAGTGAAAGTAAGATAAAAAGCCAACAATGAAGAGTGAATGTAATATAAAAAGCCAACAATGAAGAATGAATGTAAAATAAAAAGCCAACAATGAAGAGTAAATGTAATATAAAAAGCCAACAATGAAGAGTAAATGTAAAATAAAAAGCCAACAATGAAGAATGAATGTAAGATAAAAAGCCACAATGAAGAGTGAATGTAATATAAAAAGCCAACGATGAAGAATGAATGTAAGATAAAAAGCCAACAATGAAGAGTGAATGCAAGATAAAAAGCCAACAATGAATAGTAAATGTAATATAAAATGCCAACAATGAAGAATGAATGTAAGATAAAAAGCCAACAATGAAGAGTAAATATAATATAAAAAGCCAACAATGAAGAATGAATGTAAGATAAAAAGCCAACAATGAAGAGTAAATGTAATATAAAAAGCCAACAATGAAGAATAAATGTAAGATAAAAAGCCAACAATGAATAGTAAATGTAATATAAAAAGCCAACAATGAAGAGCGAATGTAAGATAAAAAGCCAGCAATGAAGAGTGAATGTAATATAAAAAGCCAACAATGAAGAATGAATGTAAAATAAAAAGCCAACAATGAAGAGTAAATGTAATATAAAAAGCCAAAAGAGTGAATGTAAGATAAAAAGCCAACAATGAAGAGTGAATGTAATATAAAAAGCCAACAATGAAGAATGAATGTAAGTTAAAAAGCCAACAATGAAGAGTAAATCTCTATATATATATAAAAGTCAATTTCTGTCTGTCTGTCTGTTTCGCGATAAACTCAAAAACTACTGAACCAATTGGTACCAAATTTTGCATGTCGCTTTTTATAAACCTGAGGAAAATTTTCGGCTGCATTTTGATTAGTATTTTTGGCTATTTATTTTTTTCATTTGAAGAACTTTTTTTTACGCGGACTAATCCGGAATGGAATGAATACCTAAATATGGCCATTTTTTTAAGCATCGGTGGTTCAGTGGTAGAATGCTCGCCTGCCACGCGGGCGGCCCGGGTTCGATTCCCGGCCGATGCATTTTTTTTTTTACAATTTTTAAAACTCATTTATATTATCTATATATATATAATTGAATGTCTGTCTGTCTGTCTGTACTCTATAGATTCAAAAACCATACTTCCAATCGCCGTGAAATTTTGGGATATTATTAGGTATATCACCGGGAAGGTCTTTGAAAAATAATATCATGAATATCTTGAATATCCTTAGAGTTATTTGCAGATTTGTAGATTTAACTCGCAAGCAGCGCCCCCATTGTGACGATGATAACAAGTTTTCTTATCACTAAGTTTGTTATCTTAAATATTATTTATCAAAAGTAAGATTATCTCAGGATGACACGGCAATTTATTTGCGACAAAAATAATGATACAATTCCCAGGCGAAGATACTATTCCTTTAACTTGCAATTACCGAGGGAACCAATTAATACTGATTTTATTCAACTTATCGAGTATTTTTCAAGGGACCGGGAAAAATGTTCACTAGATAAAACTATGATTTTCTAATGTAGAAAATTAGGAAAGACAAAATTCAGGATGACACGGCACACAGGGACCGGGAAAAAATGTTCACTTTATCGAGAGATTCAAATTTACGAGTTTCAAATTATCAAAAAAATATATTTTTTAAATAAGTTTTTAGAGAATTGTTTTAACAAATGTTCGCTAGACAAACCTTTACTCGGGTAAAATCCCGGGCGAAGCCGAGTACGTTTTATAAGTTTAAAGAGAATTGTTCTAACAAATGTTCGTTAGACAAACATTCACTCGGGTAAAACCCGGGCGAAGCCGGGCACATCCGCTAGTTATAAATAAAATGAAAATAACAATTAAATCAGAAATAATAAATATATATTAGAAATTAATTAAAAGTAAGGATACAAAAATAATGTGTTTTAAAAATAAACAATTCGATGATGATAAATAACAAATAAGATAAGCAACATTTGAAGGCAAAAATCTACGATTGCAAAATCGAACAAATTAAAAATAAATAAATCTATTAATATTTGAATAATAAAAATAAAACGATCATGTGGAGCAAGAGTAACGAAAATTTTGGTATATAAATGGCTATATATAGTTAAGTATCTTTGGAGGAGATAGCTTCAAACTTTACAACTGTAAACTCTGTAAGCCTATTATTTAAATATATATATATATATATAATTATTATATATTATTTTATTTTTATGATAATATCAATAAATTTTATATTTACTTTGCCTAATCTATTGATCTCTCAAAATTACAAAACCAATATGATGAATAAAAAGTATTTACCTATATTTTTTTCTAGGTATCTATCAATCATCTTTTTCAACCCCTTATTTTGACTAAATATTTTTTTATTTTCCAAAACCGTTATTCTATTTTTTCACAGAGAAAATGTTGTAAATATTATTTAAACATTTATTATCTATATTCACAATGTTGATCTATTCTTCTATAAAACTCTGTGACTTCGAGGAAATTGAAATGGCGACGCTACTATGATAGGTTTCGGGTACATATGTAAAGTCAGTTCTTTTTATCCCAAAATGAGTTCGGTATGTTTTTAGTTTTCTCTTTTTCCAAAATATTTTATTAATCAATTTTATATATATTTTTTATATTTTTCATACATCACAAGTTAATTAACACCAAATTGATAGTTAAAAAAGTGGTCTAAATTTATATTAAGAGTTTAAAGAAATTTACAACTATGAAATCTTGACAAATATTCAATAAGCAAAAATCTTTAAAAAATATTATTTTGTTTTCATACTATTATATATAATATATATAAACCATCTTTATAATGAAAATAAATAAATATTTATATATTTATACACGATGCATTAGTGCGTCATCTGTTATTATAAATTTTAACTATTTTTGACGCGTGAAAATAAAATAATTTTAGGTACGTGAAAGCATGCATACTATTATATATATATGTGATAATCTGTAACCCCACCACAATCTATGCAATGTATCGCCAAAAGATATAATAAAAGTTAGGCTTCGCGAAAAAGGGAATAACAATTAACAGGATTGCATCATCCAGGAAGTAAAGGTCACTGCCCAGGACCCATTAA